TTTGGCCAGTTTGGGGTAGTTATTAGACAGATAAATAGTGAAACAGCTGAAGCACAGAAGCAACTGCAGTGAAGTGGGCTCCTCCCCAGACTGCTTTCCTGAGTACCTTGTAAATCAGCAGTGTGACACTGCTCCTTGTAAATTAGACCATCATGAAGGCCTTTTAAGGCATGCAGTTTAGTGTACCCTTTACCCTATGTTTTTTGAGAATTTCTTGTTAACTAAGAGCTAATTGGTGCTTGCTAATTCACTTTTATGTGTAGCTCTGGAGAACAGAAAAAAACCTAAAAATTAACAACTTGTCCCCACCTCAACCCTTGCTTGGCCCCCCTTCAATGCTTGACACAGCCTGTGCCAAAAAAAGAGATCTTCTTGCAAAAGTTTCATGGGTCCTTGGCATATGTGATCCCAGGCATTTTTCCTCGCACGTCTGATCCAAATTCCAGTCACAACAGAAACGTACAGTAATTGAATTGATTGGCTGTCAGCTTTAAAAAGGTGACTATATCACTGTTTATCAGCGTATTTTTATCACATTGGCTGGTATCATGCAGCCCTCTGTGTAGGGAGGTTACTTGATCCTGCAGGAACTGCTCTGAGGTTGGTTGGGTTTTTTTTCACCAGCTAATAGCGTTTAGCATTTCACCAGACCGTATTAAACTCAATGTACAAGCAGTTAAGAAAAGTACTGTATCTGGCACTGTTTAATGTCACTGACATGAAATGTGAGCAGCTGTGCCAGCACTCCTGAACTCTGAAAGTACTTTACCTTTCCTCCATCTTTTGGCAATTAAATACATTTTAATACATTTTGGGGAAATAAATACATTTTAATACAGTGCTATAATGTTAGGAATGTTAAAGGGTTAACTATGTCTTGTCATTTAGATATTAAAAGAAATCATGACCATTTTAGTCATAGAGATGCTTAGCTACCTTTTATCTCCAGGTTCACCAGGCTGAGGACTTACAGTGCTCTCCGAGTGGCAGAACTGTATGACAATTTAATGAAAATGCTCTCCTCAGTTTTTGAGTATACATGCACACTCACTGGAAGAGTTATTCTGACTGCTACTTTAGCCTTAGCACATTGTATTAGACATCTTTGGGCAGAGCTTTAATCTTTGAAGAAGCAAGGCCAAAACTCTGATTAATATCAATAGGCATCAAAAGCCTCTATTTCAATGAACTTAGAAAAAGAGTATCTTTATATTTTGTCTGTAACTCAAGAATGAGGATATTTTCCCTTTCTCTGCTTGTTTTTATATTAAAAAAAGAAAATGACAAAATAACTTTTTTCTGTTGATTTTGATTTTATAAACCTGAGAAGAAAAGCAGCATTTGCTACCCAGCATAATTAAGTGATCCCTTTCAACAGATCTTTGCATGAATATGGCTTCACTGGCCTTTGCACACGGGCTGGATAGCTGCTGAGGCTGGTGGGCTTCTGCTAGCGGGTAACTATTTCCTCCTGGCCACTAATCAAAAAAGACCTACTTTTGAATGCCAGTTCTAGGGCACTCATTGCAGACAACCGTGCAGGTACTTCCCAAGCGTGTGGGAAGATTCTGGGGAAGAGATACCAGGAACAAGATCTGTGTAGGAGCAAGAAAAATCCATTACTGTCCATTTGCCTGTTGTTTGATTGGAATTTTCTTTTGATGCATTAAAATATCCCCCAGCGAGATCCGCAGGCTATGCAAAACCAGCCTGACTCCACCAATTTTGCAGTTTTCTCAATGATTTATACCTGGTGAAGAGCTTTACTAGCTTGCATGGAAAAAAAAGGAAGACAGTTATATGGGGAGGGCTGAAGAAACATTTTTCATGGTGAAGATAATACAAGAACAATGGGATCCCCCAATGCAGAGAATGGAGCCAAACGGGCCATGGACCATGGAGTCAGAACAGATGCCAAAATGGAAATCTCCCTTTCCAATGGTAGTTACAGCTTCCTGGCAAACAGCTATAGGTGGGTTGAGTTTTGAACCAGACAACAGGCGTGTCCTGTATCTCTCTTTATTTTTTTAATACAGTGATGTGTAAATCAAGTCAAATTAAAGCCAATATCACACACACACATATCATGGCAGCACCAGCAGATTCCTTTCCAATTTAAGCAGAGAAAAACAAACATTCATTGCCAGAGGCAGCTGTGTGTAGTCATTCCTAACTACAGCCCTTCCTTGAAATTGGAGGGATCTCAGTTTATGAGGGCCAGAATCCCATGTGATGGTTGATTTCCAGTTTCGCAGTACAAGAGAAAACCATTTTGAAATTACAAGATTGTCAAAATGTAATTGAGCTCTAGAGACACGTATTTCTGAAGATTCTTGGGAAGAGTGCTGTAAATTTTGTAAATACTCTTTTTCTGCATTTATTTAGTCATTTTTGAAGGAAAAGGGTACTATAACAGCTTAGATATTATCATGACAATTATTTAACTATCTTCCAAATCATCCAAAATTTAACTATCTTCCAAATCATCCAAAATCCAAATCTTCCAAAAATCATCCAAATCATCCAAGGACCAAACCTAGTGAAAGGGCAAAATTTCATGATCAGACCATGGAAGCTACCTGACTTTTTAGGCTCCCAAACATCAACCTATTTAAAGACTTCAATTTATTTCTGACTTGAAGAAGAGTTAGCAACAGTCCATGTATGAGTGTATGACTTAAACACTGAGAAATGGTATCGGGATTTCTCCTGTTGCAGTAAGTAGTGGAGGTGAGACAATGTCTCTGATTATCCCTTTAGGCATTTGACAGTCAACAGAGCAGAGAGGAAAACACTTAAAAAAGAAAAAGAAAGGGAAACACTGTTTGCGTGTGAACTCTGCACAAAATATGTTACGGAGTTAATAGCCCAGTATTCAGCTGATTTAAACAGTATTGTTACGTTAAAGTCAAACAAGCTCTGCCAATTTACTGTCGCTAAGGATGTGGTGATTAGCTATTTCCATTTTTGGAAAAGCACAGAAAAAAAAGAATTTTTTAGAAAACCTTGATCAAAACTGAAGATTATTTTACTATATCTTATGTATGTGATTCTTAGAAATGGGAAGAAAAGAGCCCTTAACAAAGTAAAACCAGCAAATTTATTTGTGAATGTTATCTGACAGTGCTAAATAGTTTTCATTAGTAAACAAAGTTCAGTTCAATACCAGATTATCCATTTTATGTGAAGCTGAATTTAAATTGCTGCTTTTCTCATTAAAAAAGGGATGTTCCCCTTAGATTAAAAGGGAGGTGGACTATATCAAAACCTATTCCAATCCAGTTTCAATTCTTCCCCTATGGTGTCCCTATTCTCAATTCAGACTTATTTCTATATTTATTTAAGAAGTCATTCTTCCAGGATCTCATGATGTCTTTAGCACATGGATGGAGTATGGAGTTTGGTGCCAGGAATGCAGTGCAAGAGAAAAAAAAAAAAAGGAAAAAAAAAAGGAGATGATCTGAAAAAAAGAACACAAAAACACAGAGAAAACAAGCAAACAAATGAACCAAAACACACTGGGCTTCAAAAATGAGCAACCACAGTGGGGTTCCACTGCAATTTGATTATGTAATAACCTCTTTTCTTCCCCCAGAAGGTGATACAGAGTTGTGAAGTTCAAATGTAATACAGAGGATGTTGTTTGTTAGAGTGGAAACAAAGCAACAAGCTAGTTATAATGCCAGGCCTGTTTCCGATACTTTGAGATAAATACGGATGTTATGTGTTGAGTGTCAATTTGAGTTAGTTTTATTTAGTTCTAGGAATAGAAAGGCTTTGCCTCACTCCCAGGGTGCACACAACAAAGGTTAGACCCTTGCCATACGCCGAGTTTACTTTAGCTGTAAATTATATACAGCAATAGAGGAGCATGGCATATCTTCTGTGAGTGAAGTACTGCAAAATTAGTTTGTAGAGAAGAAATGGCTCTTCTTTAATCTTTTCCTTACTATTTGCCATGGATCAAATTCTTCCACCCTCTTGCAATGCATGGTGCCTTACTCTTAAAAGTGACCCTACTGCAGGATATGGTATTACTAAATCTGAGGAAGGTTTGTCAACTCTCACTGTGTTTTAATCATGGGGGTGGGACTGAGTCAAAAGTTTTGCACAGATTTTAACCTGTGTTTTCTTCATAGCGAAAGGTGCTTTGGATGGCAACTAGACTCAGAGATAGGGATGAGTACCTACCCACAGAACCAGACTGAGAAGTCTGGCAAGTTCTGGTATTTGACATTCAGCATGTGGTTTTGTGTGGATCAGTGTTTAATTAACAGTACTCTGGGCCTTTCTGAATAAAATTACAAAAGACTATTCAATCATAGTTTGTCTCTCAACCAGTCTTGGAATAGGCTTGTTTCATAACTGAAGAACTGCGCTAATTTCAGCTTATTTCTGCTAACACACTGGGATTGTCATGACCATGAAATGTAATAAAGACATATTGGTAATTGGGAATACCAGGGAACAGAAGTGAGTTTTGCAATGGTTACTCTACCCATGATTTAAAATAGAGATGAACAAAGAGTTCATGATTGATAATTCCGTTCAAAATCAATCAGATCAACCACCAATTTGTACATAAATGATTTTCTACTAAAATAATTGTACAAGGCAGCTTTCTGCAAATGGAGAGTCTAGTGTACAGATTTTTAAGGTTCTGCTTCTTTTCACTAACATTATGTCTTTCTGGGGACAAACATTTAGGCAATTACTGTAATTATGATAAGAACTCCATTTCCCATATGAAGTACAGAAAATGAGTAGCCACACAGGACTGTATAATTACATTTACCACCCTCCCTCCCAAGAAAATCTTTCACTCAGACAGTATGAGATTGTTTATTTGATACATCAGTGTTAAAATCATACAAACACACATGGAAGAAAATTAGGAATTAAATTATGTCTTCTCTTTGAGTCCCATTAGGGGAGCTGAAGGGAGCAAAGAGAGGACAAAGTAGTGTGAACTCAGTGTGAAGGAATGTAGCTAATGTTCCTTATCTGACCTCATGCTGAGCCACAGCACCAGTGCGGAGCAGTTCTTCTATGGCATCATCCTCATACCCCAGCATGCCCTTCAGTATCTCCACTGTATGCTGTCCAACAAGCGGAGGTGGTTTCGGATGTGACACAGCAAATTCACTGTATCTGACACCTGGTCCTGTAAAAAAAGCAGATGGGAGGGAAATTATTTTCAAAAGTTACTGCCCATATTTATATTGAAGTGTCTGTGTTAGTTTAAAGGAAGCATCTAATTTTCACAGCAGTCTTACCACAGTCCTTATCGCAGAAATGCTATATTCTGGAATTATAGACTAAAAAAAAATCCCAGTTCACAATAATGTATGAATAAGGCAGTTTTAAGTAGTTCACCCAAACGCAGAATTGCTGAATATTCACCCAACGTTAAAAAGTCTTCCTATTGTTCCCAGTGGTATGTATATTGGGGTGCTCTGAGTCATACATATCACATCACAGGTCTACCACTCTCTGCTACTTGAACAACACAGGCAATGCCCAGCCCACGCAACAGGATGTGGTGCAGAAATCTCCACACTGTCTACAACAGGAGGCAGCACAAGCACAAGAGCGCAATGAAATGTCATGTTAACACACTGTTACCGATGTTGGAGCAGCACACCGGATGATGGGAAGCACCATCTCCAGTTAGCAACAGCTCAAGTACCTCTGCAGAGTGCTCCATTATCCTGCAGTGATGTAAGACTGACATCACGCACAACAATAATATTCCCCAGCTTGGTTTACATTTTCAATGAAAAATATAGGTAGCAGCAGCCGTAAGAAAATCAACAATGGTTTATTTACCCTGGCAAGAATAATTTCAAAGGTGGATGTCACTTAGGGAAGCTGGCAATGATACGAAGACTTTAATGTCTATTGCAGGAAGTCAGGTCTCACTTTTTACCAATCCTCTAGTGAACTGAACAGAGGTTTCAGTGTAGTTCCCTGCAGACAGGTAGCTGTACTATTACTACCAGTTTCAGAAGACAGAATGAGCTACAAATTTACTCTGGGATCAAAACTGAGGTATGCACTCAGCGTATGCATAGAAAGACTAAGTGTTTTATAGAGAAATAGTGGACAGTAATTTCTCAAATTGTCAGTTGAAACCTTTTCTTTAATACAAAATTCGACAACCTTTGATGCTTTGGACAATTGGCAGAAGGATTCCTCTATTCATAGTTATGGTCTTTATTATATCATCAAAAAGAATTTACAGAAAAAGTTATACGTAGTTATGTCTTTGCCTATGACACTACAGCTTTACTCAGAAATGCAAAGAAATATATAGAGCATTTTAATAGGTGGAACAGTCTTTGACGTATTTCTGAAGACACAGAATATTATCCAGCAAGGGAAGTGAACCACAGCAAGAAGTCATCCTATAAGGGCAGGAGTAGGGAAGTTCACTACTTGAAGTTACTACTTATTTAAGGAGAGATGCTGACAAAGGTCATGCAGCATGCCAAAATGCCATTTTTTCAACAGTCATCATTGACTGTAATCAAATGGTTAATATGGTAAAGGTATCCACCTCCAAGCAGGACAAAATAAGATAAAGGATGCTTAGAAAAAGAGGGTTTTTTCAAGCTGATTTTGTACATTCCTGATGAGTATGCTGCTGGAAGAGGGCAGGTACAGTTCCTCTTTTTAAAAAGGAGAGGAGGTAGAATTGGGAAATTGCAGACCAAACCATTTAACTTCAAGTTCCATTAAATACTGGAACAAATAATCACAATGAAAGTACTGAGGAGATGAGTAACAGCCAGCATGTATCTATTAAGAACAAATAGCATACGCTTGATCTCTTGTCTTTCTACCAGGAGAAGGGCTGGAGGTGAGATACATCCCATCTAACTTTAGATGCCAATAGCCTAGATATAGATGTTTAGTTGCTTAGACTCCCTTTGGAATCACTGCAGATGAAAAGACAAACTTACAGTGTAGTTCTTCTAAGACACTGGTAAATGACTAAACCTGGCCAGATGAATTGTGATCACCTATGTTCCTCCATAAAGGAGAGGGTAGACAAGTACCTTATATGCAGACCTCTACCACCCAGACATCTGAAGTCAGGTGAGATGACCCTCCAACCACTAGGATTCCAGATCAAGGTTTGACTTTCAGGAAGAAAGTTCTCTGCTATTTTCCATAAACTCACTAAAGAAACATGGCCTAGGTAAATCTGAAGCCAGGTACAATACTGAGAGGGAAATCATATTCAGAGAATTACTACCTGGGATCTTCTAAAACAGAAGAAAGTTTCAAGTGAGCTCCAGAGGAATCTGTTCAGGATGAAGCACTAATCAATATATTTTTACTGGGTTGGCTGATGGAACTCAGATCATACCTGCTCAGGTTTCTGAGGACTTCAGAAGCTAAAACTGACTGTGAAGCAGATTTCACAATGACCTGGCTACACTGGAGAAATGGTCTGATAAAACAGGATGAAATTTAATAATGTCAAAGGGAAGGAATTACATTTAATTATATAAATACAGGGCAGGGGACAAATAGCAAGGTAGGAATAGCTAAGGGTTATTCTAGATCACAAAGTGAAGATGAGTCAACAACATCATGCTGTTGCGAAAAAGAAAAGCGTCCTACAGGGATGTACAAACAAGAGAGAAGTCTGCAGGACACATGAAATAATCTTTTTGCTTTAGTTAGAGCTGGCAGGTCACAGCTGGAGCAGTGTCTGGTGTGGGGCCCCCACTGCACAGCCATCTGGAACACCTGAAGATGTTCTACAGGACAGCAACCAAAATGATCAGAGAAAAGATGACAGACTGAACCAAGCGGGATTGTGGACCTAAAGAGAAAGGCCAGCAAAAAAGACCTTCAAAATTGTCTTCAAAAAATGTAAAAAATAACCACCACCACAAAAACGCCAAACCCCGCAAAAATCCATGTGACCTTTCTGCAAGGAGGAAGTAAATCCTTTTTCATGTCCTTTCATTCATGATGAATGAGAAAGAATTGATTTAAATTGCAACAAAGGAAAGTGAAGTTAAGTACTAGAAAATAAACTTTTATAATGGTAGGGGTAGCAAAATGCTTAAACAGGCCATGCAAGGAGGCTGCAGAGTTCTTACCAATCAGGTCTTCAGGAACAAGAATTATTCTAGCATAGCTGATTCTGCTGGGACTTGCTGATGGATTAGATGATCTCCCACAGTCCCTTTCACCCACTAATATTCATGAAAGCTAAGAAACAGCTCACATATATTAATTCCTCTTCCTAGGACTGACTGAGGGCTGAACTGGCACTAGTGCAAGCCACAGAAATGATCTATCCATGCCAACTGAAATGCTTCTGAAGATAATTTCAGAGCAAAAATGCCCCTTAGAGATTTATGAGTCTAGAAATTCAACGTAGCCACAAAACTATTGGGCAATTTCTATTAAAAAATATAATAATATATAGATATAAAGCAATCTTATTTCAGGTGTCTGTATCTGAGAACTCTTTATACCGAAAAATCAGCAGACCCTCAAAGGAACTAGTTTAGTAGCTATACACTTTTCACTTGCTTGTGCAAATTTTTGCTAGTATAAAAATTGCATATCTCAAACCCTGGGAGTTTTTGCAGTGATATCAAGAGACACAGAATAAAACCTCTAATGAGAGAAAAACAAAATTGACATTAAGTGTACAACAGGCATAGAATGCTTCACACTTCCCAAAGAAATTAATCTTACAAACTAGAGCATGCTAGAAAATTGCACAGCAATTATAAAACCAGTGTCTTCCTTGAGCTTTTATTGTTTGATGCATAATTCATCACGCTACTTTTCACTTTGATAGAGTTATAAAGTTATCTACATTCATTCAAAGGAGCTACTTGCTAATGATCCATCATTAACAATTCTCTGTTCTTTCCTTGTGTAACTTCTACTTGGCTTCTGTGTCAATTAGGAGGGTGCAAAGCTTGCCAGTCAGGCTTCAGCAATCCCACGCTCCTACCGAACAACGCTCCCGGAGAGCAACCAGCAGAATGCTATGCAAATGCTAATTAAACACAACTCCCTTATGAGGAAACCATCCCCTGAGGCAGAGAGAGGTGAACTGCTTTAATTAAGGCCAGAAGCATTTGCATGTGGGTGAGTTACAGAGAGCCTTGCAGATGAAAACAGGCCTTTGCTGGGGTAGAAGCAGGGTTACTCGTTGGAGGAGGTAAGACAGCAGTCACCTGTGCATCCTGGCTGTAAGCAGGGCCCTATACTCAATTCAGCCATGGAGTTAAAGGGACACATATGATCACCTGAAAAAATCAATGAAGGAATGAGTGCTAGCTGTGATTTACCTTTGTCCTGTTCAATTAAAAAAAGCCTGTTTCTCTTTTTGCTTCGATTATCATTGCCAGTAAACCAAAGAGCTCTTTCACCACATTTAAATTCTAGGCTAAACTTCTTCTATTACTATTATAATTTTGACTTTGGCACATTACTAAAATACATGCCGTGCACACCACATAATGTACAAGAGCTAATAGTGCAACAATAAATCAAAATTTATATCAGTAACAATCACAATGACAACTGTACCAAGACATCTTGAAGACTTCCCCTGTACTTGAACTCAACATCGTCATAATAAATTGTATTTCTTTGGTGCCTATCCACTATAGTATTGCTAGGCATCAAACTGAGCTACTAGGTCAAGACGTACTAAACATATTAAAGCAAAAGACAAAAATGAGATAAAACCTCTGAAACAGGCCCACAGGAAGGGCCCTGCAAGAATGAAATGCCTTTGAACATTTACTTTAAACAGGTGAAACATGCGGCAGTCTTTGCAGTGTGTCACTGGGCATTGCTGAGATTTGGGGCTGCAGAAGCAAAGTCAGTTTTACTCTAAAAGTAGCAGAAATTAAAGTTGAATTTGAATAATATTAAAGGTGCAAAGCACAGTATATAAAAGTGGATAATGGTTATAAACTTTGCTTTGTCCTGACAAATAGCAGTCCTGCAGCATTGTGCAGCAGTCACCGGATAACACTTTTTCTACAGCACAGGTTGGAGCATATTGAAACAATCTAACTCTCAAACTATGTAGAGGGAATCAGACCTGGGGACAGCCAAGCTCAGGGAAAATTCATGATTAGTTATTATTCAAGTGGGACAAGGAAAAGAAAG